TTGACAATTTTGAATTCTTACTTGGAATGATTATTTGGTATGAAGTGTTGAATAATGTTAACAGAGTAAGCAAACAATTGCAACCAGAAGACATGCATATTGATGTTGCTATAAACCATTTAAAAGGCCTCATTTCATTTTTCAAAAGTTATAGAGAATCTGGTTTTGAATCGGCCATGGTTGATGCTAAAGAGATTGCAAGTGAATCAGAAATTGAACCGACATTTCGTGAAAAACGGGTAATACATAGGAAAAAACAGTTTGATGAGATTTCTTCTGAAGAAATAACACAAACAATTGAAGAATCTTTTAAGATCAATTATTTCATATATATAGTGGATCAAGCTCTATCATCACTTCAGAATAGATTTGAGCAATTTCAGAAATATGATGATATTTTTGGATTTTTGTTTGATTTGAAAAGACTTAAATCTATTGATGATGATGTTTTGAAGTGTTCTTGCATTAAACTTGAAAATTACTTAAAGCATAATACGATTTCTGATATTGATGGAATAGAATTATTTTTTGAGTTGAAAGTTTTAAGGGAAGCTATATCTGCAAACATTTTTGGAGCAATTGATGTATTGGATTACATTAAGAAAATGAACTGTTATGCAAATGCCTAGATTGTTTATAGAGTATTATTGACTATTTCTGTCACAGTTGCCTCTGCCGAAAGAAGTTTTTCGAAGTTGAAGTTGATTAAATCTTATTTTCGATCATCCATGTCACAAGAGCGATTGAATGGATTAGCTATGATTTCTATTGAAAAAAATATGTTGGACAAACTTGATGTTAGTAGTTTGATTACTAATTTTATATCTCAAAATGTGAGAAGGTTAAATCTTATGCTAGCCTAATCTTATAGGTTGTGAAAGAAGTTTTATTTTGTTATTCTATCTTTCGAATTGTATGAAGTTTTCTTTCTAATATAAAAGTGTTAATTATTCGAATATTTACATATTGTTAGACTTGTAAAATAAATTTTGTGTTGAGGGGCCCATAATAATTAAACGGCCTAGGGCCTCTAAATTCTTAGGGCCGGGTCTGGCTCAAGAGCCAACATTTATCACAATAATTGAATTAGCCATACAGCATTACTGAGTCACCTAGCAGAAGTAAATTAATGTAAAACTCACTCCTACATATAGAATTTAACATATATCTACAATGCACGTCAAATTTCCACTAAGAACTGTATCAACTTGTCATCCAAGAAGGATTGTTTGCTTTCGATAATTAAATTACCAACAATACCCACAGAAAGTAGATAATTAACCCATATTCAACTATGTTATCTAAAAAATTCTTCAAAAACATAACACAGTGATAGAACCAACGTAAAATGACAGGACTTGGAAAATTCTATAACATAAAAAAAATTGTAAGTAGCAGTTAAAAACCACCTTTTCAGGAATGTGCGTTGTTTAGTACAGCAATTATATATGATAAAAATTGATGCAATTGACCAGCATGGAAAAAATTAGAGCATTCAAAAAATGCGACATTTAAAAATATTAGCAACGTAAACAGCGCAAAATTTCAACTTGAAAATCATCTCAGCAAATATAACGAAATCTAAAACCGAACCGCAATTCAGTAATAACTCCCGGAGGCTCAAAATCACCGTTAATTAAAATCAAAACAGTAATTAACAAAAAATTTAGATGAGAAAATTATCTAATCCAACCTAAGCAGTTAGCAACACGGCACCACCTGCCTCCTTTATCTTTTTCTCAGCAATCTTCGAGATCAGCTTAGCTTTCACCGCAACAAGCTGGGCAGGGGGTAGAACACCCTTACCCAAAACCTTAAAGCATCGGTACTGAGTCACATCGATCACTGGTGCAGAATCCTTACTCTTTTGTGCCTGGGCCTGGACATCGGCCGGGACTAGGGACCAGAGCTTGTCGACATTGACGGTTGGGCAGAAGAACTTGTTGGGGAGCTTGCGGAAGTACCTCATACCGACCTTCCCGAAGTACCCAGGATGGTATTTGTCGAAGAGGATACGGTGGTGGTGCATTCCTCCAGCATTTCCGCGACCTCCGGGGTGCTTGCGGTGCTTTCCGATACGGCCATGCCCGGCGCTGACGTGGCCGCGCTTCTTCCTGTGCTTCTTGAATCGAGTCGTCATTGTCCGGTTGGGGATTCACAAATTAGTGGTTGAAAAGTTGTTAATTTATGTGTAATATTATTTTATTGAAAATTGTGTGGTTAAAAGTAGAAGAGAGAAAAATTTAATTTAATATAATGAAAAATAACGGGGCTCAAACGGGATGTATATACGTAGTATGTGACCGCAGGGTTTGGAGTGTTATGCGGTATGACGATATTGCCCCTGTTGGATGAGTAAATTGCGAACATGGACTAGCATTTTCTAGTTATTCTAGTGGTAATTACAAAAACCCTAAGGTTAAAATCTATGATTCAAAAATCATGGGAGTAATTTAACATTTCACAAATTAGAAAATTTATTTTAATTCATATTTTTATAAAATAAATATATTTACTCACAACCCTAAGTTTCTCTTTCCCACAACGTCGCCTCTCTCCCTCTACATCCATAGCTATCTCCTCTCTCTACATTCTCCTCTCCCTCTACATTTCTCCCTCAACAATAAACAATGGATTGGGCTGTAAACGCAGCTCCTCGGTTGGATTGTGGTGGTTGATATGGTGGTTGGGTGGGTGGCAACGTGGCAGTCGTAGCGACGATAGCAACGTGATGGATTGGGTCGTAGTGGCAGTGGCGCTCTCTCCCTTCGTCTCTCTTCTCAGCCTATTTCTCCTCTCCATCTCCTCCATTGGTTGTGTTGGTTGTTGAAAATGGCGACGATAGTGGCAGTGAGGTGATGGCGATTGTGGGGGTGTTGGCAGTTTTTGTATCTAGTTTATTGATAGATATTGCAGTGGCGAGTGCCAAAATCTACAACACCAATTTGCCTGAATTTGCAATTTTTTATTTTTTTTATTTGATCTACTTAGTGATGGTGTGGTGGTCGACGACGACGGTTCTTTTGGCTAGTGGTTTATGTGTGGGAATGGTATTGATGTTGCAATCTGATGTTGGCGGTGGAGCTATGCTTTAGAGTGATGGCAGGGATGGGGGTGTGGGTGATGGTGTTGCAATGGTGTTGATGTCGACAATGGGCGGCATCACTGGTGGTGTTTGGTGTTGGTGCGGTGCTTTGCAGTTATGGGATGCGATGTGGGTGCTTATGACAATTTTATTAGTTGATTGAAATTTGTGACCAATAAAATGGTTAATTTGTGACCAATGTGGCGATGTGGTGGTGATTTTGACGGTGACGGTGGTGCTGCTATTGGAGGCAGCGTTGAAGTGGTGGTCACAAATCATTTGGTTGATTGTGACAAGTGAATTGGTTAATCTATAACCCATAAATAATATGTGACCAATGAAAAAAATAAAATGTGATCTAAAAAATTAATATTTTGTGACTGTCTAATAAATTGTGATCTATGATATTTCTGATCTGTGACCTATAAATAAATTGTGAAGTGTAAATTTTTAATTTGTAATCGTAAAATAATGTGACATTAAAAATTCTTATTCGTGACCGAAAAATAATATGTGGTTAATTAAATTGTAAATTTGTGACCAAACTATATAAATCCGTGACCTTAATATATTTAATTGATAAAAATATAATTAATTAATTAAATTATAAAATAAATTTTATTGAATTTTTTTATTTTTGAAACTTGAAACTTTCTTTCTTACTTTTGAAATGGGTAATAGTTACCTTCTTAGTTATGAAATTTTCCATTTGTTTTATTTTTCTAATATTTTTAAAATTTTATTTTCCTGTCTAAATTAAAAAGTCTCATTTATTTTAATGCGTAGGAAAATATTATATTTCATTTTGTATATAAATGTTCAAAAATAAAATAAAAATAAATAACAATACTAGTTTTCACAATTTTGTGGCCGGGTTGTAATTTTGTGTTTGAAAATTTTCTTATGGTTCTCCTCATGTAATTTTGGAGGAGAGAATTGTATGTATCCTTCTCTTTTATTTTGAACTTTAATTGAAACTATTATACAAGGAATATTCACATTGCCATGAAATAATATGTGTAACAATTTCAAATATTTTGAAATAGAATAAGTGAAACATAAATAATTAAATAAATTATGCAACAATTCCCGCTGCACAAATGATGTTGTCACTAATTTTTTTTTTTTTTTTTATTGCAGTGTAAATTCAACTATAAACGTAACTTGTCACATAGACAATTATTCATTGTCAAGAAATAATATTTGTAACATTTTTGATATTTTAAAATAGAATCCATATATACATATATATGGACAAAAATTATACATCGTTGAAATGACAAACTCTTTTGCTGAATAAATTCAATTACAAACATAACCTATCACAAAAAAGAACGTCCATTGCCACAAAATAGATTGTGTAACATTTGATATATTGTAAAATAGAAAATGTGACGTAAATAAATTATCACGAAATAAAATAGGCAACAAATATATACCGTTGGACAAATGATGTTGCGACAAAGAACCTTAGTTGCGAAATAAATTTAATTACACAAACCAGGCATTGTATAATAAATTTTACTACAAATATGGAATATTTTAAAATATTATGCAATGTATCAAACACATTGTACAACATTTTTCGAGACAAACATGACTTGTATAATACATATGTACTACAAGCCATCAAGCATATGTTGTTGAAAAATAAATTAGGTGACAAACGTTATACATTTAAAATAATATTTACAGCAAAAATAAAAAAATAAAAAATTCTAACATAAACATTTTGGAATAATCATTGCGATAAATTGACTTGTTGTCCTTTTAAATTTTTTTTTTTTATGACATATATGTATTGTAATGATACTATGAGAACAAATATCTTGTTGCTATTTCATACTTTTTGCATCAAATAAATAATGTTTTGAATTTTTTAATGTGATGAATGATTGAAAGTTCTCATAAACAAAATCTCTAATTGTGTGACATTATCGTAATATTTTTATTTTTATTTTTATTTATTATTATTATTATTATTTTTTGGTAATGAAAGAAAGGTATTGAAAAATATTATTTAAATTTATAAGTAATGTATATTCTGATATTTCTGATTGCATTTAAAAACAAAAATTATGAATTCTTTTTCAACTCTAATACATAGAAAAATTGAGTATATATTTCTTTTTTCATTCATAAGACGTGCAATTCCTATGCTCAAAATGTACTAGCATAATATTCTTTTTTCGAATTAATATATTTTTAACTCCAATATGTAGAAAACGTTATGAATTCTTTTTTGTAAACGTAAGAAGTGCATAAAGATAACTTAATATTTTTTTGTTTAATATCTTTTCATGCGATGAATGTGTGGAAAATTAGTTGAAGAAAATGATTTAATGAGTTACATATAATTTTTTTTTAATAGGTATTAATAAATTGAAGGAAATATATTGAACTACAACAAACAAGTGCTTTATGCTACAACTGTGCTACTTCGTCCAAGGCAAAATTTATTATCAACGGGAACATTTATGGATGTGGAAAAAAAGGTTATTTATTGCCAAAAAATTTACTTTTATTAACATACATTTTGGTATAGGAAATATACCAATAATATTTTTGATTTCATTTAGAAACAAAATTATAAATTATTTTTAACTTCAATTTTAAGAAAACATTAATTATAAATTTTTCATTCATAAGATGTCCACATCAACGAGGCCAACAGATCCCAAAACCTCTCACATTTGAGCAAGTCGTATTCTTGCACACTAGGACAAATCATTAGTCACACGTAGCCTTCTTCGGTGGGGGGTGGAGCCGGCCACGTACACTCCGACGGTTAAGACAATTTTGGGGAGAAATATATGGATGTAGGAGGGCTTTTAACATGAGCCTCCAATGTAAAAAAAGAGGGTCAGTATTGGGAGTAAATAAAGAATGTAAAGAACGAAGTTATAGTATTAAAGTCTAAACTTGCATTACCTCTGGAATGACATCAAATATGAGCTTTTATAGTGTGAGACAATAAGTAAGGATCATCAGATGGGAGAACACGTGGCCTCATCCATGTGGGTATAACTTTCCATCATGGGCATCAATCAATCCTTAGTTATTAATGCTAGTACCAACTCTTCTTCCATAAGTTGTAGCCTGTGGCAGTAGAATGACCAAGTAGGTTGGCTGTGGCGACGGTGGCAGGAAATTGTCACATCAGTCATTTCAGTAGATTCGTTTCTGAAGATTTCCTATCAGGCCCATTCTTTTGTTTCCTTTAGCTCTTGCTTGAGAGGCTCAGCCTCATGAGCTTGGCTGTAGCATGGGTTTGGCCACCAGATAGGTTTGTCCACGGGGGTTCGATCGTAGATTTTTGCCACCTGGTTTGGGAGCATGGGGTCAACTACCGACGATGTGGCCTAATTGTGAAAGGCATAACAATTAACATACATTTTGGTATAGGAAATGTACCAATAATATTTTTGATTTCATTTAGAAACAAAATTATAAATTATTTTTAACTTCAATTTTAAGAAAACATTAAGTATAAAATTTTCATTCATAAGATGTGCAATGTCTGTGCGGTAAATGCAATATCATAATATTCATTTTTAATACTTAAAATGTAAATTCTACTTGCAGATAACAAAATAACTTTTTTTTTTTTTTACTTAATATCTTTTACAAATGCAACATACAGAAAAAAAAGATGAGCAATGCATGCGTGGAAAACTAAATGAAGAAAATAGTTTGATGAATTGCATATAATTTTTGTTCAGGATTAATTAATTGAAGAAAATATAAAGAAATATAGAAAACAAGTGTTTTAAGCTATAATTGTGCTACTTTGTCCAGCTTCATTCACACACTTCTCAATGGTCAAAGGAAGGCTAAATTTCCCATCTAGGAAAGCATATGTGGGTGTGCAAGTTTGTCCCAAAGCAATGGAGCTCGTATCTATGACCTCTGTGTGTGTGTGTGGGATTTGGGGAGGTTGGGGTGTGCGATCTGGGCATAGAATTTTCATGTAATCTGGGATACAATTCAGTTTGCTGTTTGGGAGGGTTTTCCAATCTAATTCGTAAAGGGCCAGTCGATATCAAGTTACTACGTAAATTCCAATCCAAACCAAGTCGGCAAAATTAAATAAAATTTAATTG